GGCGACCTCGTAACATAAATTTGTCTTTTTTTTTTCTTTGTTTAAATTTACTTGTTTGAATTTAGCTTACATAATTTATCGTAGAAAGAGTTAAAGGCCACGATATATCACGGGTGCTAAACAAAATTTTCAGGCTTGCAGTTCACAAGGATCACACCGATACATTCTCGGGCAGCATCTTTAAGAGCAACGGGGCGTCAAACCACGTTACACAACGGTTAGAGCAGCATTTGCATGAGAGCAGCTGGACGGTGTGTAGTTAGGAAAGCGAGAAAGAAAACAGTGCAGTAATTCTTGACATCACGTTTCTCTTTTTTTTCTTTTTACTATGTACTACTATGGAAGTATGGCGTACACTGCGCGAAATTGTTAGCACGAACCCGACATCGGAGGCGTTCTTTTGTTTTTTTCGGATTTTACATCAAAATAATTTTTTTTCTGGGCACCAAATAATACCGCTAAGTTTAGTGGCCCGCTATGGAGCTTTCACTTTCGCTAGAAAATTTCTTGGCACCCTTTCTAGGCTAATAAAAAAAATTAGAAACACCGGCGATCAATAGTTAGTGCTAACAGCGCCGCGAAGCGGCTCACTCTTTAACTGTTAAGCAGGGTACACACTGCTTATACAACATAGAAAAGACAGTCTGCATACATCAGTCATTGCGATATCCGAGGTTCGAAGGCCGCGTGTCAAGTTTCTCCTAGGACTCGTTGCCGTGCGGCATTGAAGCATGGATTTTGTGATGACTTGCATTCGAATCCGTTTGCATACTTTTTTTTTTGTAAGACTGGTGTATCAGGACCGTCGTATAAAGAAGAAACATGCCTCAAACAATGTCCGCAGACTTCATTTTGTACGATATATTAGCGCTGTGAACGTGACTTTTGGGGATTTTAGAAACTTTTAGCAAACCGTTACCGTGTTCCTCGTACCACACTACCAGAGCCTTTGAAGCAGACTTTTAAGCGCACGCGGCTGGGTGATACCGTGACTGCGGGCGCGCGCTGAAAAGCACGCTTCAAAGGCTCCGCTAGCGCGGTACACGGAACATGGTAACGGTTTGCTAAAAGTCCCTAACGACAAAGCCCACCGGACATCCAATCAGCTGAACGGAGGACGCGGCTGAATGGCAACAAAATTGACAACTCACTTCAAGGATTCGTCGGTAGCTGGTCGGGTCAAATCTCGAGCTGCAATCTCGAAGGTTACGAGTGCTTACTCATTCCGGTATTGATATGAACGGGGAACGCGGCATGATGCACGTTAAGCCGGGGTCACGCTGCTTATACATCATACAAAAGGCATACTGCAAACAAATCCGAATGCGAGTCACCGCGAGATCCGTGCTTCGAATGCCTCGTGGCAATGATTTCAAGGATATACTTGCCACGCGGCGCTCGAACCACGGATATTGCGTTGACTCGTGTTTGCAGACTGTCTTTTGCATGATCTATGAGCAGCGCGACCCCGGCTTTTGAAGACCACAGGTTAACAGTTTAGTACGGCAACTAACCTGATATAGACTCCAGGGGGGAGTATGAGAACGCCATTTTAAGACCGAACCGACTTCCTAATATAAAAAAAACTTTCCACGCAAGAAATTCGATGTTCTCTCGCAAATGCCAGTCTAGAACGGTACTGGGGCATTGCCCGTAAGAAACTACAGATGGCAGGCGCTCGGACGGAAAAAGGACTCTAAAACACAGGGCTGGTACGCTGCTGGTTCGCGTCCGCCCGTTAGACTTGTCAAAATACGGCGATGTCAAAACGGTTTACGCTTCTCAAAGCAAACAGACTGATGGAGTACTTTTATCGCGAAAGCCAGCTTCGAGGCTAACGACTTTGCTTCTCGAGCGCCCGCCTGCTGCCTAAAAATAATCCGATGCCACTGACCGTTACTGCGGGCAGAAACCTATCCGATATTGTTTCCATGGCCATGTCAGGTCGCCCTTTTTAAGGTTGAGAAAATAAAAAAGGAAGCGCAATTCAATTTGTGAGCATTATGGCGCCATCGTCTGCAACGGCAAGTTTGGCGTATACTTTCAGTTTTGCCTCTTTCTTTTTACGCGAACGATATTTTATAAACAAGTCTATTTTTCGCATGAAGCAAAGTACAATGCAAAGTATACGTCGATGCCGTGCGCGAAAAGAAAGTATTTATATAAACACGCTAGTCCTTGTTTGAATAATACGAATTTGTGCATTAGCTTGTTTTCAGGAAAAAGTCGTCGACCGAATTTTATTTTTGAAAAGCACCTACAGTAAGCGTCATAGTGGCAACCAATGGTACGTTATAATACATGGTTTCTTAAATCAAATTACAGATTTTCGTTAGCATTTTGCGCTTCACCCTTTCGCTACCGACGTCGACTATACCCACGTGATTGTTTAGACCACGTGTTGTGGCGACTCAGGAGTACTAGTGGGTTATCGCCCACAGTTATTAACTTTAAGATTAAAAACGTCATCCGAATGTGCCGTTCAAGCCACTTTCAGCACACCGGGCAGTGTTCATACGTAGCGCTAAAACAATGCCATGTTTGTCCTCCACAGTATATTATTTTTTTTTATCAAAGCGTAAGTTAGACGTAGAAAACTGAGATGCGACCGTTTGTCTCCATAACATCCAATATCCCGCCCAGTCAACTCGTGTGATTGCGGAAACATACGCTTATTACAAAGCTTAGAACGTGTTGAAGCAACTTAAGCACATGACATGTTTCATGTTTGCTCCGTGCTTAAACAGGGTAACGCCGGAAGCAAATGATTCTTCTGACACGAAAAATGTGTGTCGTCCATGAGATTATCTTGTTCGTTTTATTTTAAACACCTTTGTGTGTTTGGAGTGTGTGTCTTTTTTTGTCTTTTTTTTAACACCCACGCTGCTTCTCTAAACGTACAAATGGCTTTCACTCGCTATGTTGTTCCCCTTAAAAGCTTTCGGCTTAAATAGTTTTCCGTGCTCCAATCCCCGCAAAATCGCAAAAAAAAAACAAAAAAAAACGTTGGCTCACTTGCGTAATCAACTAAAAACCTCAATCTGAAAACAAAACTAAAAATATAAAGGGTGTATATTATTCAAATTTCTACAAACATTTTTTTTATATAACAAAGGAAACTGCGAAAGCAAGGAAATGTAATAAATATTAGATGCGTTAATTAAATTTGCAGTAAATCAAATAGTGTCCTGCGAAAAAAAGGAAAACGGTTAAGCTCATGGTAATCCCAGCACTCTAAAGTAACTATATATTAATGCAGAAGTTTGACTTTTGCACATCAGTCACACAAAATGGTACGGAGGTTAAGAAGGAAATATATGCATAGAGAGTGAGTGCTTAGCACAATAACGATTGAACAAAGTTCCAATAATTATTGTGCATTCAATAAATGCTGTTTTTTGTGTCTGTTGAAGTCCTCATTTTTAATGTTGCGATGACTTGCCGTCAACCTAAACTGTCAAAAAGTTATGGATCAAATTTCACACTTAAATTGAAGTAAAAACTAAAATATTACGGAACCATGTAAAAAACTCAGAAGGTATCACGTGTTTGATCACTTCAAGCATGGTAGGCCACAAAGTATAGCAAACATTTAAAAGCACCACTCCTAAGGCATTTTAAATTACAATGCTGAGCCCATGAATAGGCAGCCGGTACCTTCTTCAATCGTTTTATCTTCCAAATGTTTATTGATTACTTCGGCAAATAAATTTGACGATAAAGTATCGTTTGATAATATCTCTATCTAAGTTACTCATGAATACAGCGTAATTGCACTACCAACCTTACAACAGTTCAAGTAGTGCAATACGAAATGCAGTACAGCACTGCAATTTCTTCAAATATATAAAAACAAATCTGAAAAAATTGAAGCAGAATAAATGCATCCTTTGCAGCAAGTGTATGAGAGACAATGATCTGGCCACAATCGAAAATATAAACGCATTTTTAGAATATTAACTTAACGTATATGCATGTGTGACATGAGTATTGTTTTTCCCTTTTTAATAGACGACTATTTTTTCCCACGCAAACCTTGCAAAATATCTAAAGTATATAAACATAAAGCTATAGCCTGTTGATATTACAGCCACATGATGGTTGTAGCATTTTCGACGTTGAAACCTAGAAGCAGATTAAACTTCGCGGGCATCCAGCATCGTAAAGCAATATCGTTATTTAAATTTCTTACGCCATACAAAGAACTAAGCAAAATTTTGAGCCCCAGTACCTTCCGCGCAGCTATCCATTGCCAAGGGGAGGAACAAAATAAAACACTCAGCCGCCATAACAGTTCGTAAAGCACATTCTCGTAAAATCAACCTCGTATACTGTAGACAACGTGCAACCTCGTAATGCGTCGTTTCCGCTACGAACGCTAGCTCGGTAGATGAGTTCGCACCGTGTACGCGCTAAGCCTAACTGCGAGTCCGTTCGATCAAAATGGGTCCCGAACGTCAATATTTTTTTCTTAGCTACCGTAGCAAAAAAAGAAAGACGGCGAAGCATTGATCGGCAGTGCTTCTACGATCCCTCGTGACACACGGGCCGTCGCCGAAAGAGCACAAAGAACGACTTCGCCCTCAAAATCCGCGCAGAGTGACGAGCCGCGTCTAATAATAGCCGCAGCGACAGGTAACCGGGCCGGCGCTCCCGGGGCCGGGGGAACGAGGGGAAAATCCCGCTTTTCAATGTCACTGCCGCGTTGCATCCGATACGGCGAGCCGACGTCTTCCACTCGGGAACACACTTGCCCGCCGGACGAAGACGAGCAACGGTCGGTAATCCTGTAAAGCGTGCCGCTTGCAGCGCACTGGTGCTCTAGGTGTAGCCCACTTGCCGGAGGCACTTTGCACATCGACGGGAAGAAACATGGTCGACCTGCAAGGACTACCGCTACCCGGCTACCCGACTACGCGGCGAAGACACGGGGGGTATCCGTTTTTTCCCTCCAATTCGGAAAAAGAATGAGGCGAGGAATAGGAGCGAGGCGGACTCACCCTAAGGTCGTCATGGTGACGATGGTGTACCAGAAGGCGGCCGGTATGCTGGTGAAGGTGGTGCTCTTGACGTTCTTCTCGGCGTAAAACATGACCGTGGCGAAAATGATGATGGCCATGGCGAGCGAGAAGACTAGGAAGCCCAGCTCTGAGGCGCAGCTCTTGAGCGTGTAACCCAGGATGCGCAGTCCCTGCGAGTGACGCGAAAATTTGAAGATGCGGAACACTCGGAACACCCGCAGGGTGACGAAGGCTCCGGACACGTCGTCGTTGTCCTTGATGCCCAGGCCGATGTAGTACGGCATGATGGCCACCACATCGATGATGCTCATGACGCTGCGCATAAACTTGCAGCGGTTCGGAGCAGCGTACAGCCGCAGCAGGTACTCTGCGGTAAAGATCATCACGCAAGCTGTGTCCAGGCAAAAGAAGGCAACCCTGTAGCTCTCGCCGCAGGAGCGGCTCTCGCCCGCGCGGCTGTCGTGGCCGCACGGGATGGTCTCCACCACGTTGGCCATCACCGAGACGGCGATGAAGAAGCCGGTGACGTAGTAGAAGACCAGGGCGGCCGTGCCCGTGTGGGGGTTCTCGAAGGCGCGCCACATGCGCTCGCGGATGGTGCTGTGCGCCATGTGGGCCTCCTGGTTGCCCTCGGACATCTTGTCGTCCAGAAGGCGCTCGGCGTTCTCTCGCTTTCTGTCCCTGTAGTCCTCGTAGCAGCAGTCTCCGATCACGTCCGGCACGATGCCGAAGAAGGCCAGCTCCTCGTCGTACGCCATCAGGCACTCGTGCTTCGGGTAGTGAAGCTTCCCCGTCCGGTAGTAGTTGAGGATGTGCCGGAAAATGTCCGGGTCCCGGTCGAAGAAGTACTCGCGCGTCTCTTCGTCGTAGAAGAACTCGCGCTCGTTCGAGCCCAGAAGCGTGTCGGGGAACTTCTCGACCGTGTTGCGCCACGTCTCGAAGCGGCGCCCGCTCACGTTGATGGTGAACTTCTCGTCTTCGCGGCGACGCCGCTCCTTGGTCACGGGCGGCGCCGGCAGCGGGTTGTTGGCGATGGGCACCCAGCCGATGGCCGCCGCCCGCGCGAACGGCAGCCAGGCCGCCACCGACGCCATGCCCCCGCCGTCCCGCTCAGGGGACGCCCGGCTCGCCCGACCCGCCCCCGGTGCTGCAGCCGCCGCTTCGCAGGCCCGTGCAGCGGGTCGCCCGGGCCGACATCTTGGCCGTTGCTGCCTGCTGCGCTGCCGGTACCGCCGCCCGACCAGGCACGGCTTCACTGGCGCGACGCCGCTCGGCGGCAGCGCGCACTCGCCGCCCCGAACCCCTCGGCGCCCGAGCGCGGGGTTCGCGCAGAGCGGCCGCCGCAGGGCGCTGCGAGCGCGGTGCGGAGCGGCGCCGGGCGCCCGCAGCGCCACGACTGCGGCCGCCGCGCGAGGCTCGGGTGTCTGCTACGAATCGTTGGCTGTTGCCCGCCGGATTGACGGCGCATTGCCCGTTAGGGTCCGGGCTGCTTGCCCTCGCTGGCCGACGAAAGGGTTGAGTGGACGGCTGACCGACGAACTCGGCGAACGTGCGGTGCTTCTGCGCGTCGTCACGGCGATGCAAAAACAGAGGCGTTTGGGCATGTTTCCTTACTTTGCTTTAAAATATCATCCCGCTTTTTTACTGCACTTTTTTTGTTCCTTTATCGTGCATTAGGCAAACAAGCGTTCCGGAGAAGAGGAAAGTGTGCACTCGTTTTGTGACGGGTAAAGGGTTTAAGCTTAGCTGATAAAATATGAGACGACACATAAACGTCAGAAACACGCTTCGGGACTCGCCTATTTGGTTCGTAAATCCGATTAAATAAAATATAAATCTTGTTTTGCGGCATCCGTGTTTTCATGCGCGGCCACGGGGTTTCGAGCAAAATGCAAACCGCACGCTCGCTCGGTTGACTACTGGGCCAGCGCTAAAACAGACGCCACGGAGGTTAAAAATAGCGACGTAAAGAAAGCAAAAAAAAAAGTAAGCTGACCGGAAAATATAATACGAGCAAACAGTAGCTAAAATAGTACCAGCAACACTTAATGATGCTCTCACATGTGTTACACAATACCATGGCGAAAAATCCTAAACTCATGCAACGTGCTAAAAATGTAGATCTGTCGCCTTTTTTTTTTCTTTTTGGGCGCTCGTGTTATACGGTTTGCTGCGTAATCGTTAATTTATTGTTATATTTCGAAAACGTTATTTCATTTTTTTTTTTTTTACTTATGAGACCGTTCACTATGACACTAGAAAGGCCGAGATATTATCAGTGTTTTACAGAAAGGAGAAATAGAAAAACTCAACCCGGTAAATAGACCAAAATTGCAACGTAACGACGCCTATCGTCCTTGTGCGTTTTTTGTCACCGGTTAAACCAATCATGTACAAGAAAAGCGCATAATCACAGCATATTCCCTATGCGTGATTGGTTAAGCCGGTGATGTCGAACGCGGAATAGGATGGATGAATGGATGTTCATGGCTACACCCTTTGTAACGGGCGGTGTCTTGCGCCCCCTAAGTCAAAGAAGACAAACTGGAATAAACACGAACGCTATGACGATAAATTTTCTGACGCTGCCCCATTTTCTCCATCGAAATGTAGCATCGACTCTGCTAATACTTGGTGCGAAACGGAGTATAAGAAATGACGAAACAGAATTTAAGAAAAGAGCTAAAAAAAAAAAAAAGAAGACTCGCAGAATTGATGAGTATATTGCACAACAACAACCGTACTAAATGAAAAATAAAATTGGTCAGAGTACGCGTTTTCGTGAATATATTCATCGGGAGCTCTTCTCTCGCGATGTAATCGTATTCCACGGACAAGCGCGTCTCCGAGAAAACGAGGCTCGGCTTACGTCGCCTCGACAGTTACACATAGTCGCGATGATCCGATCACAAACCTCCGTCCCCTCAGGTAGCGGGTCTCGCTAATACAGGAACAATGCTCACCTTTCTCGTACGCCCTCGTTGTCATATCCCCGAACGTAAGCCAAAATGGTTTTATTCGGAAGAACGAGCATTCCCGAGAATAAATAAGCACACTCATTTTATTTCCTTTATTCCTATTGTAGCGTCGCAAATCGGTGTCCCTCTTGCCCTTTTCTCCCAACCTGTTTTTTCCCACTTTTTCAGCTTACCAATTTGAGTGTGCACCATCTCATAGTTTATAAATAAGCGTGTTGTCGCGTAGCAGCTGGAAACACTCACATGCAGAGACACTCTTTTTTTTTCTCTCTTTTAATAGCGATGTATTTGCGAATGCATTGTCTCTCAATCAGCTGTGCAGCATCGACGTGACGTCAGAAACGCGAGTCTAAGTGTAACGTACGACTTTATCTAATCTCAGTTAAAAGCCTAGTTGTTTCTTTAAGTCTTACTCTCATGACGATTTGTGGTTTGGTGTGATCTGTTTCTCATTCTGCCCATCTTGCTCGGCCCAGTGTGGTCTGCAGTATCAAATAAATAAATAAAACATTGTGCCCTTAAACTTTCCGGACGGACACGAAAATAAATGCAAATGCCACCGGTTCTTTTTATTTTAATTTTCTGAGTGGAGAAAAGAAGTGACGTCTTTTGGTGGGTTTAGAACGCTTTGAGACGTCAAACATATACAGCGTGCCAGTCTGCCAAAACGCGTAAAACGTGAGGAGTTTCTCCCTGCAAAACAAGACAGAAGAGGCACGAAGATGTGAGGGGGGGATCACTTGGGCTACGAAACTCCGCCCCAGCTGACGCAACAAATGTGGCTACCAAACACCATCTCAGCCACGAGTTCTTCGTTAGCTGCAGCGCTAGTAGATAATAGACAACAACAACAAAAAACGCACCTTTCAAAGTATTTTATCTTGCCTCTCTCGAAGGCTCAGTCTTCATTTGTAAAAAACCAGAGGATTTTCAAGATCCATTCAAAGGGCAAGGCGGTCATTGCTAACAACTAGCAGACGACCGCCAGAGCTCGACGTCCCGACGCCTGACAATTCTGCTCTCTCTGTGCAAGGTGCGGACGAGCCTGCTAGGCTCTGGTTAGAGGATGCAATGGGTAGACAAAGAATGCTTGTGTCTAACCATTACGTATGTCCTCCAATCAGAGCTTGGCGCAATGACGCCACTGTATCTCTGCGCAACCCGCAGTTCAAACTTGCTCGCCGTGCTGGGAAAATGTGCGAATGCCCTTGAAAACGGCTCATAACAAAGGCGACTGGATTTTAGCCGCTTGTCGGGCCTTCTATACCTGTTTTAAAGCGGCAGAAGGCTCCCCTTCAAAGACATCCCTTTGTTCCGCCAAAAACCTCGTGTGGGTCTGTGAGAAGGAGAGGCCTTTATTCGCCTTCCGCGGGCGATGCCGCGTCATCGTGAGGCACGAGCTGCCACTTTCAGCAGCACCCGGAGGAGGCTGGTTTTCTTCGTGGCCAGCTGACCTTGGACTGCAAATCAGTAAAGAAACACAAACAGAACGCTCACGACGGGAGTAACCCCAGTCGCTTGCAACATCCGGCGGAAGCGCCTCTCGCAGTGCGTAGCTCCCTTTCAAATATCCGCCTCCTACGTCAACGCCTTCGAAAGAAGAAAACGAGAGCCTGTCGTCCATACTGCGCCAAAAGCCAGCAGCGCTGTGATTTTTCAGCGGCACCAGCATCGAGACAAACGTGGCGTCAGCGATGCGAATGACTTTCTATTGGTGACATGCGGTACCAAAAGCGTCGCTGTGCCGGCATTCGCGATTGGCCAAACGAAGAAATGAATGAATTTTACTTTCGTAGACGGAAATAAGAGTAATGTCACACTGTCAACTTTGACTGGGTTGGCTACAGAACGCGACAGCTCCGAGCTTCCATCGTGCTTTTTTTATTTTATTTTTTAGACACACCGTCGAAATCGTACTTCGCAACCGACGATAACTACCAAAGATTACAACTCGTGACGTCACAGCGAGGCAAATCCTGGTCATGATGTCGCGAACGGGCACCATAAGTGGACTTTACCGTCACACCTCGGCGCTAATGGTCATCGACAAGGTGATAACGGCCGGGCGTCTCCTTCCGATGCCTTCTGCATGCGCTGATTGCCTTCCATCGTGTTTTGACTGCGCATGCGCGCGCGGAGAAAGAGAGACGCCGACGCGCTATCGAGGCCAGGAAGCTCGCGCAGGAGACGGTACAGCTGAAGGACCTCCCTGCCGTTCTAACCCTGTCGATGATTATAAAAAGGCTCGTGTCCGTTCTCATTCTTCTACGAAAATCCCTTTCGTTGTAAGAGACGTCAACCAGCATTGTTTGCGCACGTGCCAAACGCAGCTCGCTATAATCGGACGCGAGTTAAGAAGGCGCCCGAATACACACCACCGTGTACCAGCCATGGCATTGAATCGCTCTGCGGACCAACCAGGAAAGTCAGTGGCCATGACGAGTTATGTGACGTCAGCGCGACGCGCGCCTCGGCGGGGCACTACTTGCGCATCGCGGAGGGACAATGACTGGCGGTAATGGGGTACCCACACGAAGGAAAAATCCGCCTCTTTCCTCCGTGGAGCGCACATCACGTGAGACATACGTCATTCCTTTTTGACGCCTCGCGGCGGCGTTCTCTTCCGTGACGGAGGCGGCTTCGTACTGTTAGCACGAGAGCTCCGCAGGTGGGCGGCGGAGCCGAGAACGGATTTTCCCGGGTTGCTGACGTCACGACAGCCGTCCGCGGAGTTCTCCTTCGTGTGGATACCCCCTTATGAAGGTGTGAGAGGAGCTGCTGGCGCGTTCTTAACAATTGTATCCGAATATAGACGCTTTCAGGCAGCTGTGCATGGGTGCCGCCATAACCGAACTTCAGTTTTTGCTTCTTCTTGTTTCGTTCGCTTCACTTCACCATTAGCACAGCAGGAGAGGTTATTGCCACTCTGGGTGCTACCGTGTCGTTCTCCCCAGCATAGGCCTTTGTAGAGGCTTGTCAACGCCCGCTTCAGGGGCTCGGTATCTCGGTAAGACGAGAGAAGGTTGGCAATGGTGGCGGCTCAATCTGGCGCGTGTATAAAGCGTCTAGAGCAACCTCAGCTAGGCTAACTACGCTATAGTAACATTAGTTACGAAGTATTATTGCTTCATCTCAGCTCAAGTCCAGACTCAGCCGACGCTACGAGCGGACGGTACCAATAAGACAGCGTCAAAGGCGCACCAACATGGTGTTCGTCATGTTTCTGTACGTGCTCTATCATCGCTTAACCAATCATAAACAAAAATGGCCCAGTAACTTGCGTTTATGCCGCCGCTTGATTAGTCCCATTAGCTCGCAGCGTCGCCTGCGTCTGG